GCTTGGCCATCTAGATATATTTCGATATTTGTGAATAAACTTTCCTTCTTTTACAAAAATTATGAATGTCTGGTCATTGACTAATTTGCATATATTAACTTTTTTTTCTGTTTTATAATGGATTTTACTGATGTGCACACTGAAATGAGTATGACATTTATTAATCTGTGAGAAGATAAACTACATACGCATGTAGATGTATAAGGCACCGAGTTAAATACCTGGACAATGGATTATTCGACAGATAGCGCTGCGTGGTATTAAATAATGGCAAGAAACTTAACAGGTCACGCATACATGCTCGAGTTGGTGTTTGCACTACCATACACAAGAACACCGTCTAACTCTCTGGTTTCACGCGGTCGGCTTGTAAACGCTTAATAACATTTTGAAGATGCGTTAAAAACTGCATGACGAAATTTGTGATTAATTATTATATTATAATATTTGTATTTTTTGAGATTACAAATATCCCATGGTGTAATTTATTAAAATATATTGATGATAGCGGTCGCCCATAACTTAATCAAGTAATTTGTTGTACATTAAAGTTATATATATACTTAATATATCGGATTTAAAGTTGTAATTGTGTACTGTGTCATTTAAAAAAAACACACTTTTTCATCACAGCGACTAAAAAAATAAAAATACAACACTTCGAGTACGTACGTTCTACATTCACATCGTTTAAACCAAACTTTAATTTATCATTTTTCACAGGTTATTTTATTTCATATATATCACATGTTTGAATAAGTAGCAATGATATTTCGAACCCATTAGTTGGTTGAGCTTGAAATTTAGCATAAATTATCGACGCATTTTAATTATGTTTTATTTTATTGCGCTGTAAGATGAAAATGTCGTACAAATTTGCATATAATGTGAACCGAAACTAACATTAAGTTGGCAACACTTGCAGTTAATTAGACATAAAAGTGCTCATAATGGCCATTCCGACAAATTCCTGCACATAAAACGCGGATACTGTATCCGGTAATATGTTTCATTTTAATATTTGTTTAAAAATAAACATATTATTATTAAATTGACAAAACACAGTTTTTTTTAATTTTTCTATGAATTATCCCGCCGTTGTCCTAATTCAAGATGAAATATAAAAGATAGTTTTATCAACATGCCTAAAATAATCCAACATATGTATATTGTCCAGTGTGCGTCGAGGACTCTGAAACCAACACCATGAAATGATGCAGATGAAATTATCGATGCCACTTCACTGGAACGTTGAGATTATACTATATAGTAGGTTGAAAAGCTATTTTACAGATATGCAAAACTAACACCGCGAGTTGGAACGTAATGGATAATATTAAGGATGTTGTCTCAAAATGGATTATAACATATTTCACGGTTCCCGTGTCTGCTATTTTATCTGAAATTACATTAGTGACGCGTGTATTAAAATAGTATTATTTCCCAATTATGGCGGCTACTAATTTACTAGTATTAAAAAAAGTAATTATCCGTGGATTACATGAACCCCTTATCATTTACTTTAAAATGAAGTTTGAAGCAGTTACATCTACTTGACGTTAGTAGTGGTTGTGCCCGTTTCTGACGCCCGAAAGTTTGGAAATCGTGAAGCCAACGGTGTACGATGCGATGATGGTATATTAGATTAATTTTCGTGATACTTTTTATAAACAATATGCGTGATATGATTCGATGGCATGTATACCATTACCATGCACTCACCATACCATTTCGTGAAGCTAAATCTATATGCGGCGACGGTGACGGATTACAATTCAATGTCGCCGCCTATGACGGCTAATTCGTCACGTCAGAAGATAATTCTTACCTCGTCTTCGATTTCAGTTGCTTCCGTCGATTCCGGTAGGACGTATATCGTTACTAGAACAATTAGTAAAGCCAAGGCGCATAGCCGTATATGCGCCATTGTCAGGTACCGTTCACTACCGTACTTGCATTTACATGTGCACTGACGGCTATATTGCGGATGGAAATCACGTGACTTATATGTAAATTAACGTTATACGTGTTATATGCCTAGCGTTTTCGCTGTAATATGTTGTGGGAATATTTCATATATATTTATAGATGAAATATCAGAGACTGCGTTTTAAAAACAAGTTCCTTGCCAGACACCAATGTTTGTCATTGGAACTTTACGACGACATTTTCTGTAGAAATATAACCCGAAAAATGTTAAGAACGGGCCTTGACAATCGTTCATGATATAGGGAGTTATTTCCCCGGCTCGTCAACGGGTACAGATAATAGTTTTTTCGTTCAATTCATATCACAAAAAAACAAAGTCAGGTTGCTTTAACCCTCGAAACAGGCATAATTGGTTGTTATTATACTTTATTTAGCGTTTTAACGCAATCACCTTGTCGAACTTGTGTGGCAACATGCCGTGTGACCAGATAGGTTTTCAAAAATGACGATACATATATTAACGGTACATACATTCGTTTGAAAAGCACGTTTTGGGAATAATTAATCAATTCCTTCTGAGTGGTCATAAATGTCTTTTAATTCGAGTTACTGGCTTACAACACGTAATACTAGTAACAGTGGCGTCATTTGTATGTGATAGATAATATGGCAAACCATCGTATATCTGCAAATACATTTACAGTATAGCAGCACTGTGAACAGGTTCTCAGTGTGAATATCGCATTATATATGCGTCCAAGTAATTACAGCGTGGTGAGTTTTGATAAAGAGACCATTATACAGAGCCTAACACAGGTGCATTTTACGGCACGTGACGTCATTGTATACAAAATAGCGGCGTGCTTTGAACAAGCCATGAACAAGATAACTACCTAGTATGTATACACTGTAAACAGTTGACAAGTGTTACGTGTATACTTCTATAGAGGCACAGTACAACACAACGCGGCTACCTACCTAATCGTCAAAACGCTCACCATGTCCGAGATTGGTTAAATCGGAATATGACTACAGACTGATAAGTAATAATAATCACGCGCAAGACTGACATTTTAATTCCGTAGAACAACAGTATATATACATTACTCAGATACCCTGGAAATAAAAAAAATATGCGCTTGAGTAGTGGCGTTTTTATTCTTTTATTCGTGTACCTCCTCACTCGGCGTTCATACAGTTAATATACTGATCAAACGTGAGATATGTTGGCCTGAACTGTTTATCTTCCAGCCGCTGTGGACGTTGTTATCGACGACCTGACTCAAAAGTCTTCTGCCTGGTGTAGCTGTACCAGTGTTACCTGAGTAATCAAACCCTAAACGATAATATATGTATTAGTACATATGTTATTATTATTATTATTATTTGTGAACACGTTTAAAACTCTATATTTTTGCCATGGGATACACTACTTAAAACGAAATATAGACAAACAAACTAATATGATTCCTTGATTGAACATTCAAAGTATGTATTATTATAATTAGCCGCATTGACTACACTCGAGTCAGTGACTAATATACGTATATAAAATACACAAGTAGTACATTTCCTGCATGTCCGTATCTAGGTGTAGCCTAATTTGTCCAACTTAAAAAAAACATGATCGAGCCAATAACATTATGACGTTAATAGTATAACTATCGCGGTAAGAATTTGATGTATCAAACATATGTAAGATTTGTCTTCATAAACCACTACAACTTTAGTATGCGTGTCAAGAGAGACGGGCATAAACCAACTCATTTGTCTGCCAATGTGTTTATGATCTTTTGTACACTGGAACGATTTATCTCGATGACAAAAGAGATTATTTAAATTTTCTTTTATCAGTATTCAACATCCTTGCAGAAATATACCTCTCTCTATACGACATCGCCTTGTTTCATCAAAACTATTGAACCACTCGTTTTACCTACCACGCTGTATTAACTACGAAATCATAATAATTGGCGTATACGAGGCGATGCATTTCATAAATTTTAATCACACATGTTTGGTAATAATTTTGTTATATATTTATCAATGCTTTATTGGTACATTGGTAAAAAGGGTTACATGTTTATCTCCACTTATAACGTATTTGTAACGTAAGTGCAATGGAAACAATGCGGGTAGTGGAATCTATTTCGTTATATTACACAGATGTAAACAAATGCAGTTACATGTCAGCATAAATGAATTATAAACGTGCAGACTCGTTGGTGCCGAGAATGCGAAACTAACAATAATTATAACGAAAATTTGTGATATGGTAGCCGGACTACACGGACAAATTTCCAATCACAGTAAATAGGTTGGCAATGTTTTGAAACATGCAGAAATATGGGAGTATACAAAAAGAAATGTACCAGTAAAACTATTAAATATACTTTTCATGCCTACCCCAGTTCAACGGTCAGTTAGATCGGATTATCTAAACTATCGTTCGTACATTTCTACAGGGATTTCACTCTGTAATATAAACATGCACTATGCTCTGACAGGGTGGCCATCCAGAGTCGAAGAAACTCGACCCAACACCGCGTTAACGAATCAACGATTCTAATTTCTCTCTATAAAGCAATGACGTTTATTGAGAAGCAGTTTGGAATTTAGGTAATTGGCAACAATAAATTTGTTCGCCATCATTGTTCTAGTTAATTTAGTATTTTCCATTTTTAAGTTGAATTACACAGTATTCACTTTTTTCAAATAACATCTTTGAAATAATAAACCGAAAATGATGATTGTTTTACCGGTGCTATTTGTTATTCAATTATATATTTGAATTGGTATTTACGATCTGCACAGAAAATTCCAGAGAAAAGTAAAGTCGGTCGATGCGACTTCCGGTAGTACCCGTTCTATACTAACTAGTTTACCGGTCCATGTGGCACAGGTGACGTTCAAAGGCTCTTAGTTCATTTTACATTGGTTATACCACAGGTAACATATACTTATGTACGAGCTTATATTTGATCCTTCTTGATAACAAAGGGTCAAGGGCCACCAAAGAAAAGTTCGACAATTGATACGCAACCTGGAAAAAATAACGCATAATTAATGGTTTGTATGCTTATCCAGTCACGGTTACAACGTTTAGGTGGTGTAACTAACAACAAAACTACAATATTCAGAAACGTATAAAAACACAGTCACGATTTTAGTGCACAATAATTTTGTAATAATTTTGAAATATATGAATTCATAGGGTAAATTCCGAGCTGCTAAACCAGGTGATTTGCGACTATTCAAATATACGGTATACGATACCCCTTAAAACTGTATAACTCCTCGCCAGCGAATTGGAGCGAGTCACTCAAATATTTCATGTTCAGAACTAGGTCAAGACAGAAATATGTGGTCAAACCAAAACATTAATTGTATATTCACTAGTCTGTGTAATTGTGCGCAATGTACAGTGGCCGTCATATTTACACCACTTGTAAGAACTGCTGGTATAGAGCAAAATCATCGGATCCTATTTTTTTTAAAACCGGACGCAACTTACGCCGACGTAACTTTTTCTAGTGAGAAGACAGTATAAGAGTGCGTAACTGAGCATCCCACGAGTAGTATTAGCAAACAATGATTTATGTATTTTGTTGCTTATTTGTATACGTGTCTGCATGTATAGATATGAATACTATCAAAGGCAATGATATACAGACGCGCGTACTGATAAATAATTTGGGTCAATGATAACACACTCTGTGTACTATTTAAAAAACAGTCATTATTGCTGACAGGGCGAGCTACGTTCTGTCTACAGGTTAGTCTAGTGACCAGAAATTTGCGTTCTGCGCTGAATATTGTTTTTAGCAGTTTGAAACAACTGGACACGCTACCTGAAGGTGGGTAAATATAAAGGACATCATATACGACTCGCGACAGTTGCTTGTTCCACCGTGCAAACAAAAACAATATACAATTTACGTTCCATGTATATAGCATATGCCTGTTACCTTTGCGACAAGGGATCGCGTTGCATGATGAGCGCCACGTTTTTGAGGTAAATTAACTACCCATAAAAATGTTTGTTTGTGTGACCAATTTGTGATGCCGTATCAGAATTTGCAGTACTAGTATATTTCTTGTTACCGACGACAATTTGGCTGAAAGGAGATAGGGGCCTTGCACAAATGACATGCAAGTGCGAAATGTCACGTTTTGTGGAGATTATAACGTACAGGAGGTGGGCCGTACATGTTGGATACACCGTGACGGGAACACACTGGTACCGAAATCATAATACTTAGTTAATAATTCACAATACATACTGTTTGTCAAGTAACAACCATGTAAGAAATATTTCCATATTATGATAACATTTTAATATGGAGTAAGCAACAAAACATGTCACATCATAGGATGTTTAAACATATATTGTTGATATGTGATACCCATACGTAATATGCCATTCCATACTGTAGTCGGATCATGATTTATTATGAACTAGGAATGTTGATTTTGCTAGACCCTAAACAGCATTTGTTTGAGTTTACGTACCAAGGTTTCACTGTTTCATCGAACTAAAACTCATATATGTGCTAAAAGTACAGTGTTTTTATGTCAGGATAAATCATAATCCAAATGTATTCATCAATAATGCATAAAATGCATGATCGTTGAATTTCTTAAATAAGTTTTTTCTTTTAAATATGGTGCTAACTGTTATTTATTGATAGAAATATAAACTATATTGCAGTTACAAATTACAGTGCATTGTGGGAAAATGTCATTGTCAGGTTGCAGAGCTGACGAGCTCTGTAATTAGTGGAGTTGTGTTCGATTACGTAAAAACTCTTCCACAATTCACTGTGATTCTAAATTGCAATTTCTGTACATGTGCCAGGTGTTATTAGCTGCTATGGTATTTATTATACCATGAACAAACTAACAGGTCATTCACTACTGAATCTTAGATCAGTGCACCCCCAAATGCCCATCAAGAGACTTCCTACGAAAATTTTATACAGACACAGCAAGACAGTATTTTCATGAATACTTTATCGAGCTAGCGAGTAACTACAAAAACAGAGCAAAATGAGGAATTATATGTTTCTCTTCCTTTTTTTACATGAAGTTAAACTCAAACATAAACAAACTTTAAATAAATAAACAAACTAAACAAACTCATATTATATGAAAAATTAAATTCAGTCTCCAAATACACCCAAAATATAACATTTTGGACCGAAATACTTTAATCAGAATGGTAGATAAATATGATGGCCTTTATGAGTGTTGTAAATTGTAGACGTTTATATTGAAAGGTCGATGGAAGGCGATTTTGAAGTGGTTTATAACCACTCGTCATTTTTGAGACTATGTGCAGTAAACTAAAAATACCCATAATGTTATGCTTCATTTAATGTTTTGCATTTTTTCTATTATGAATGCTATAATGCAAATATTTGTTTAATGTAGAATATCTGTGAACATATTAGCTACGTTCACACGGCAGCAAAAAATGGCCGTGTATACGCGTTTGACTCGAGCCGGCTCGAGTTAAGTTCAGCTTAAATCCTCGGGGTTGAATTACGTTAGGGTTGAACCCCGACTTAGCTCTGATTGTGTATACGCATCGGGGCTCAACCATCGGAGCCGAAATTACGCCCTCAATCGTCTTCTTCAAGTAAACTCTCATTTCAATTACGGCGGAGACAACATTGTTTGTAATTTCCGACTTGACGCATCCGAATATCTACTAGTATTTGGCAGAGTGACAAAATACTGCGATAGATTGATAGCTCAACGGGAAACAAAAAAATCGCGTACGAAATTATGCGACAAAAACTTAAAAGGACGACTGAACAGATCCACAGTCCAATGTGTGTAGCAACCTGTATCTAGTGAGTAATTTGTTTGTTCATGGCATTGAACATTCTGTAATAATCGCTCATTGAACATAGGAACGTCAAACAAAAGAATGCCGATACACTGATTTCGATTCGTTCCGAGTCTTAAGACGTTCATTATGATCGTCACGGTTCTTTCCGGCACGTGCTGATGCGGTATCAGCCGTTCAGACACATATTCTAGCCGACTCATTCCCAATGCTCGTGAACACCACTTATATCACCACTCACTATTATTAGTTGATGTATCTCGCGTTACAGTGTATAGAGGTTATTCATGCTTGTGTACTTTATCTCAATCGATATCACGGTCATGATATATTCACACAGTGTCGTTGCTATCTAGGAAAGTGTATCTCATTATCTGTAACCCGGGACGACGGTACCGTTACATTTATCATCCACCGCATGCAAAAAAACGCCCAGATATAATTTTCAGGATCGGTACGTAGATGGTTGTATTTGACGGAGGTCCCAATGCAACGAAATCCTCGTATCACTCAAGATAACGGTTTGTTCAAACAATACGGCAGAGGTGTATTTGGCTATATACATAAAGCGTGGGAAAACTAACAATAGTCACCCTTCTCCTTCCCAGAGTTCCTTGCGGTTAGATCACCGAAAGTATATCTGCCACCACACATTTTGTGGTGAAACACCACAAGCCTTTTACTACGCGTGTCATTTGCGTATTTTGTTATTAGAGGGCTCTCGTGTTGATTTATTCCTACTGGAAAACAAGTTTTAAAATACGTTATGGATAGCTGCTAATGATTTTTCCGTAAATGCACTGTCAAGGGTGAAATAGTTATAATTTACAAAAGAAAATAATTTCATCGCGAACTAACGGTTACTAAGGTGTTACTCGGTTCATCAAACTGACCGTCCTGTCGATTGCCAGACAAAGAAAAATAAAGAAACGATTGCACTTAGGGGTATTGGCGGCCGAATCGTCCTACTGTCACACCGTTTGTGTTACAGAAAGAAAAAAAGCTTGTAACTTTGAAAACGGCCAAAATCTGCAACGAACGCGTACACATTCGTCGGATTCGAAAGTAGTACCAATGTGACGCATCGACCATCACACACGAGCATAGATCTCGTGTGTGAGAGATATATTCGTATAGACTCTGCCTGGGAGATTGATAGTCACCTGTGCCGTTCAAAATCTTCGATTTCACGTAAAACTGGTAAGGATGTCTTGAAAAACGTATGAAACAATTGAGGCAAAGCGTATATTTCATGAATTGAGTATATATTAAAAGAGTGATTAGCGAATTTAGATAAAACAGTTATTTGGGCTCTAAATTGATTAGCGCATACAGAGACGGATATACTATATCGCAGAGATACCCAACATTCCAGGGCAAATACATTAGAGCAAATCTGTACACTCATATATACACCAGTGAATAGCTCAGTGTAACAGGTACAAAGATTATTGGAGGTCGAACAGTCAATACAATTTCTGACAGGCTATTATTTTGGTATCCAAACATAAAGTGATCCGTACTCACACAATCCCAGGTTCTAGCCACATATTTACAAGATACGACTTATTGAAATACTCGAATTGCCTTCAATTTGTTATTGTACAAATATCGATAGACGTGAAGGTCAGTATTCAGTGTTGATAATAATAATTTGTTATTATACCAACTAAAATAACAATAAGAACATTATAACACTTATATTTACTATATACTTATATTGTGAAAATGATGACATGTTGACATATGGACGAGCAAATTCGAAACTTTTTGTTGTTTTTTCCTTTTACTTAGTTTTTTTTTTAACTTTTAGGCTAGCGGAGATTTTAAGTTAGTATATCATGCCGACTTTTTCCATCAAAATGGCGATGCAACAAAGCTTAGATTTGATGATTCAATTTGCTGATATAGTTTGTAGTCTTCATTTGCATACCGAGTATAAAACAGTACCAACAAAGATGCTAGTTCTTCCTAATTGTCGATATCTTCACAAATGCGGCGACATTAGCCGTCTTCGTTTTCTGACAAATGTTGTGAAACCAGAGGCAAAAAGAGAGGGTGTGGTTCCATTTTCCTCATCCAGAATTGAAAAATCAGAATCCTAAATCAAAATTTGGCTCACTGGGAGATCCATCCGCGGACGGAAACGAAGTTGCAGACGACGATGCTGCTACAATTTAAACAAATCAATTGCGCATGCGCAGTAAACACATGCGGACATTAATCAGTTTTAATGAGTACCGTGTGACCGCAATTTGACTAATTAGCACAACAATATTGGGCATGAGGCGTGATAAAAAAAAATATCCACTTGTATCAATGTGGCTGATGTTTGTATAAAGCCTCTCATGCACAATACACATATACTGTACTGGCACATACTAACGAATATTACTCAGTACATAACCAGATTTTGACTTCTTGTTATAGACTGCGATGCAATGTCTGTCTGCGATCACAAAAAAATTTGTCAACAATGATTTGTCAGAATCTAATCATTCAAACATAGAAGCAAACACATAAATATGGCGAAAAAACTGACTCATGTCAAACCAACATTAACCGATCCAATAACTCATGGAATATATAGTTTTAGTGAGATTGTCTATGTTTGAAAGCACACGGTCCATGCCTCACAGCGTGTTTCTCAAATGAATCAACCCAAGTTTCAACGCAAATAATCGCAAATGTGCCACAGTAGCTTCTATCAATCACCTGAACAAAGTTGATATTGTTAAATACATACATCAAAAATATATAATTACATAGCATTGAAGGAAAATAAAAGTGATAAATGTGAATACAAATATCGTTTATTACATTTAAATCGACGAACATTTGTGACGAATAGCATCAAGACAGAATACCGTTTCAAATATATTCATCGATATCGTTTAAACCTTTAGTCGTTTATGTATAAATACTACTATTTAGGGATGTACGTCTAATATAATTACAAACGACTACACAGCCGACAACACATACACGCCATGTTTCACGTCACTGAAGCGTCCCACCGCTAGAGGGCGCGAGGTATGTGAATGGTGTATTGCTGCGAGTGTTCGACAACTGACGATTGTTATATAGGTGTGTTCGTTATTTTAACAATGGAGAAAAGCTGATCTATTTGTAATAAAAAAAAAGAATTTGACTACTTTATGTTTTGTTACAGTTGGTGGTCTGACAAGAATACAACCGTAATAATAAGTGTCTTACATGACAAGAATGAAGGCAATTCTGTATATATCGTTGCTCTCGCTGCATGCTTTCATTTTTGTGAACACCGTATCCGCACAAGTTCAGCATATCATAGAAAGTGACATGTAAGTATACATATTATTTAATTATTAAAAATATTATTACGAGGGCGCTCTTGAAGTATGAGGTAGTAACCACATGACAATCAAGTTAAACTTTAAGTGAGACATACGACTATAAAACGCTTTTCATGGTTTATAGTTCATCAGATATTACTTTACATAACATGACATCATTTGACACGAAGTGTCTCCAGATTTTATTAAACGTGTATGTATGTATGTGTTTCAGCCTTCCATATGACTATAGATTTCGTCCAAACATTGGCAATGGACACATTGCCACCAACGTTCTGACCGATACAGTGTATATGAATGGAGTTATGAATGGCTACCGTGCTGACAGTCATCGTGCGAGGATTCCTTCAACTAATGCAATCAATATAACCATCGATGACACCGAAACCAGGAATTTTACACTTAACATGTATGAAGGTAAATACCACAAGTGCGAGTGACACATTTGTAAAGATAACTAGTATTGTGTCCATATAATTTGGGTCATCCGCTATATTAAATTCTACCAGTATTATGTAAATTAAACATTAAAACATTTTTTAGAGAAATTATCAATGATATCGAAGTGACTATCATATTGGTGACTATTGTAACTGTAATTTCGTCTTGAAAACCACCAGTCCGTTTTCTTTGTTATTGGATAAAATACTTTGCTTGGAAGTAACGAATCAACGAGATTGTTGTTGTTGGTTTTGAGAAAAATTACACTATTTCAGACTTCTCTCTTTTAAAAAAAAACAAAAAAAACACAAAAAAAACAAATCATTGACAGCCTTAGAGCTTCATGAAAATTCTCAAGCGAACAGATACTCTTGACTAAAAATATCCGTATACAATGCCGTAATAATATAACCTTTTTTGACAACTAAACATTTAGTTTTAAGAAAATGCATTTTAGTTGAACGTTTTCCTATTTCCAACAGGTTACTTTAGACAACATATTTACCACGATGACTGCCAAGTCGAACAGACGTTTTATGCTCATCGTTCAGAAAATAGATTGATGGTGGCTGAGATCAGACTATGGCGGACCATCGCAAATCCAGACGGTGACTTGACTGTAGAAATTAATTTAAACCGTGGGAATGACAGTAGTGATTTCAACATGGAGGATGATAGTGAATATGACGAATTGACATGGTATGGGTTTGTTATGAGCACATTTTCCCTCAGTATTTTGTTTCCTATGTGTATATGCAACAAACTGAACGATAGGATACAAGCGATGTCGTTAATACATCCACTCAAAAGTATTTAGGGTTGTGTGTAATCATTTGTCCATCACCGAGTATACGTAAATAAACCCACATTTCTCTGACTCTAGGTATACCAGCGGAACGACTATAACACCTGAGACAAATACCAGTAGCACTAGGCCATTACATATCTATTGGACAAAGATTCCCGATAGCTTAACCCTTTATGATGGTCAATACTCTGCCTCATGGACCTACATAACTTCCATCAGCACGGACAATGACGACGCACTGGGTGCGTATGAGAAAGGCGAACAACTATTACAGTCAAACAAGTTGTTTTCAAGCCATGTCGATGCTTGGACGTCACTTTGGGATAATGGCAATATAGAAATCATAGGAAATGTGTCCCTGGGACAGACATTCTACTCTTCTATGTATTATATGTTGTCATCGACTCCAACAAAGCGTGATTATGTCAACCCATTCATCGGGCACAGTCCAGGTAAAGTTATTTTTATGTTGCGCCCTCTATATATTTTTATATTACGCTGTATAGTCGTTTGTCAATTATCATACACTACCTGTATATTATTATTGGTGAACAACCATATGTCAAAACAGTTTCAATGATATAAGTGGCATTCCCATACAACCATTTAATACATCTATATACGTATTTAGGAACTCTGTTTCCTTTTCAATCATCGTGTACACTAATCACGCAATTATGTTTTCTAGGCGGCTTGCCACGTGGAGGTAAGGTAACTGACGAATTCATTGGTGGGGCGTATAACGACTACGCAGGTCACGTATTCTGGGATATGGATACCTGGGTGATGCCGCCGATTATGATGTTCTTTCCAAATATGGCTACACGGATGATTGAAGCTCGATTACGAGTTCTTGATACAGTGGAAGACCACGCTACGGAAACAGGTTATGAAGGTGTCAGGTTTCCTTGGGAACAGTGTTACACAGGTGAAATTTTAATTAGTGACGTTGAAGAAGTGTACAGGTTTGACATCTGACCCGTGAAACGTGTCAAATTGTTTTTATTTGATCACATAAAATGATAAAAAATAAATTTATCGACATGAGTACTTTATGTTGATACATGTGCATATGGTAGAGTTCATGTAACTAAACAAATATGCGGAAGAAAGAAGTTGCATAAATAATCAATTACGAGAGCTAAGCAAGGAAAATAGCACAATCTATCGGAAAATGTAGTGTATTATATTAGATTTTTGAAAGTATCAGAATTGATTTTGCTGCCTAGGAAAAGTGCAAATCGTAATTTCTAAATATCGTTCAGCATGATACATCGTCATTGGCATTTCACGGATCTGAAGCGTTTTGAAAGCTAGCCTATAAACTTAATAACATATATACAACATTACACATAATGACAAGATTAACTGCCTAATATGTGTTATTTGTATTAAGAACGTATGATTTCATAACAATTTTGTATCTAACTTTTTCAAATTATGTATCAATTAAAGTTTGTAATGTGTTATTATAGGTGAGGAGACATGTCCTTGGCCACCAGCGTCCATATATCAAATCCACGTCACTGCGGATGTATCTTATTCTATAAGACAATATCTGTATGCAACACAAGACTTAGATCTATTAACTGATTATAGAGGTGAAGAGCTAGTGATGAAAATAGCAGAATTCTGGGAAAGTAGATCTGTGTTAATTAATGAGGATAAGGGGTACGAAATTTATGGTGAGTAACATCGGGAAAGTGCTTTAACAAATTATTTATCAAATATATATATTTATTTATCTTAGGTACAATGAAACTTATATAACATAACCATTATTGCTGAATTAACACTCAATTATGTTGATGTTATAGGAGTGATGGGACCAGACGAATATCACGCAAACGTCAATAATTCAGTATTTACCAATTTTAACGCCAAGCTGAGCTTACAGTTACCAGAGTATTTGCTTACCATACTTGATGATCCTAAGTGAGTGATCAATCGATCAATATTGCATTATAATAATCATACATATGTACAAAAGGTTATAATTATTTTGATTTCTGAATAAATATGTGCATGTTCTTGTGCTAAGGTTCATCACAAGAGAAGATGCCGATAGATGGCGAGAGATAGCAGATAAAATGTTTATAATATTTGATGAAAAACACCAGTATCATCCCCAATTTGAAGGGTTTGATCCTACAGGTATGTTCACTATTTCGTAGTTATTTAAATTGACGGGAATACATTTATATTTTCTTCAATGACGTTTGTTATTAAACCCGTTCTTGTTATTATAGCGGAGGGAGTTGTTATTAAACAGTCTGATGTTGTGTTGCTTGGATACCCGCTAATGAAACAAATGACGAGAGAAGTTCGTAAAAATGACCTCACAATATATGAAGAGGTGAGACACTGACATGACAATATTGTCACCATATTTGTAGTCTTGAATTCATCTCCATGACAACCAAACTGAATTGAAACAGACTTCAATATATTATATTTTATATATTTGTGAGATTTCTAAAGTTAGGTCACATAACTGTAGTTTTGTTCCAGAATGTTCCATCTCTAACTATTCTGAGCATGTTACGCACCTTCCGTTAACGTTAAGCCTAGCACATAACACATTCTTCCGTGGCTGTGAAATGCATGCGATTAATGCTAAATCTCCATGCGCGACATAATAAAATGAAAAAAAAAAAAAAAAAAACGGCGGTAGTCCACGCCCCAAAATATAGATATGGGTGTAACATTTGTATTCATGTTCAACTGATCCTAACATACCTATCAGTGCGTGCGTTTGTCGCATACTGTGAATGTAATTGAGGAGGGCAAATAATATACCCAACCATACACGAGGAGTTCGATCTTCTTCTACTCTAACCATTATGTGAAGT